CTCCGCTCTTGTCATTTTCCCTTACGCTTCCCGAACTGTTTGTATCAGGTAATGAGTTACTATCGTCATCACCATGTCTCAAAGATGGTAGGATCTGTTGCTCAGTAGGATTTGACCTAGCACGTTTTCTTCTTCTATGCCGTCCATCTCCTTGCTCCTTACTTTGGTGAGATTGAGGAATGGCATTTAGAGGATGAACATCCAATGGCTGATTTCTCCTCTCATCTTTAGATGAAACACAGCCAATACCATCATCAACGCCATCGACATCATATACACTGTCACTGCTAAATGAAGGTTTCTTCTTTTCACTGCGGCTTCTAGCAGGTGGCTCTATGCTAGATGATCCATTCTCACTGCCTGGTTGCTGGAGGATTGATTCCTCTCTGCTTAAAACAGCCAACCAGATCGAGCTCTCCTTAGCAGTCATCTTGTCCTGCAAACACTTTGACTGGCGGACTAATCTCCTGATCTTCGCAATATCAGGCGACATATGCTTTATAACAGCAGTTAGAACGCCAACTTTCCACATCTTCTTCAAATCATGTGGCTTCTTGTATGGCGGATTCTGACCCTTGGGTAGTCCCGTTTTAGACCACCATTCCTCATTTCCTGTCGGCCACCACGGTGGTGAGACGCCTTTCTCCAGCGGGTACTTCCGCTGAGGTGGATCACAATGTTGCATCAAAGAAGACAAGAGGGACCCCAGTGTAGCATCTTGCAAGTCTTGCAAAACACTTCCTGCGTTACCATTTTGGCTGCCGACTCCCTCTCCTTTCGCACGGCATTCTGCTTCATACTTGGCTATTGCAGCAGGACCGTTCTTATCAAACTTTACCTTCTCTTTCCACCAAGCTCTTATGTTATCAGACGCACCACTTACAGGTTTACCCTTATCAGGAATGATACCATAAACAAATCCTCGAGCATTGCAGACTTCCATGAGCTTCAACATGTACTTCAAAATTCCATCCTGAGCTCTCGACATCTTCTTCCGCCTAGCCTGATCTGTAACTTGCTTATTGTTCTGCTTCTCAGCGGCTTTCAGGGCAGCAAGTTTCTGTCTTTCCTTGAGCCGCTTGAGCTTAATACGGTCCTTCCACATCCGTCTCTCCAATTCTTCTGGCTCAATCTCCTCATCACTGACATCCTTTTCTGCTATGTTGTCGCACCTTATGTCATCGACTTCAATGTCCGAGCTGTTCACCAACACATAAGCATCAATCATACATTATTCACTTCAAAACTAGATGCCAGTAAAATTATATCCATCCAACAGAGGTACATTATTCATAAACCAGCAAACATCAGAATGTCAAGGAACACACAACTAAAATTTGCAAACACCAAAGACTAAAGCAATTTCAGAGTGACCATACAACAACAACCACCACCCAGTGAGTTCCCACATGTGGGGTCTGGGGAGAGTAAAGTGTACGCAGACCTTACTCCTACCCCTGAGGGTAGAGAGGCTGTTTCCGAAAGACCCTCGGTCAAGAAAACGAAAAAGAGACAAGAGAGAGACCATAGAAAGCAATAATTTTTTTTTATAACCGTGGTGTCCGAGCCAGCTTGCGCACACCTCGACTAATTACTCGGGGACCTATTACATCCGACCAACATAGGTACCGGACAACTCTGTCCACTAAGGTTTCACAGAAAGCAACAAACTCACACTCGAAAAACACAAAAGACTATTCGTTTCAATCTAAGATTCAATTTTTATGATTGCTAATGCAGGAAGCTTATCTAATTTCCAGCAATTGAATAAAAATCACAATAAAAAACTCAACTTTCAAGTTAGAGCTTACATAGCCAAATTCTCAAATACTAATACAGATTTGAAGTAACATATACAAATGCTCAAAACTCATAAAACCCTTCAAGATTATAAAAAAACAAAACTTACCCAAATGACAATTCTGGTAAATTGATATAACAATTAGTCATACCACAACTATTCAAGATTTTACATTGGTTTACACAGAGCTCAAACAACAACACAACCGGAAAAAGAAAACACAAAAATAAACACAAATAATGAAACATATATATATGCGCACACACACACACAGAAAATACATATAAATTAAAAGGGTCTAACCTGACATCAACACCAATCTCATCTATCACAGCCATGCCTACACAAAAGTTGCAGCAGTTTTTTTTTTCCTTTTGGTCAGCAGATTGATTCAACCCTAAAAAGGGTATCAGATTTTATTCCCTTTTTTTTTTTGGTAAAAAATGATCACACAGGAAAAGGAGGCAATAAAAAACTTAAAAAAGGTTTTAGAATAAAATAAATAAATGTAAATGCAGACATGTATTATGAACAGAGACGGCGAAAACTCAGAATTTTTAGATTGAAGACAACGAGATTGAAAATTCCTTAAGAAAAGCGAAAAGGAGAAGGGAAAAAAAAAAAAAAAAAAGGTAAAAGGCAAAGGCGGATTGTAAAAGGACAAAAAAGAAGAGGCGGAAAATCACCGGCGTTTACAGACTGTTTATACGAAATTATATTAAACATTAATAATTAAGTAATTAAATATACAAAAATATGTGTCATGTATTGATTTATTGGATTAAATCATTAAATATCAGAGGCAGACATGTAAATCTTACCCTACTTCCTAAACATTGAGGTATTTTTGGTTCATAAATTAATATATAGATTATTTATATGGTGAGTAACAATAAAGAGATTATTTAAATAGTGAGTAATAATAAAGAGATTATTATGAGGTAATTAATAATTAAGAGATTGTTATCTGTTAATTACTGACTCTAAAATGATATTTTTATCTTTAAATACTTCACACTACTGATACACGTACTCTTATTACATATTTTATCCTACATAAAATAATACTATATAACTTGTGGTATAATTTAATAACAATATTACTTAATCGTACAAACTAAAACTTCTTTAGTTATGTAGCGGCTATCTTTTTATGCTAAATTTTATGCTAAGGCATTAACCAACCGAAAATGCTTCGAAATTACTCATCTCAAAATATAGTAGCTGAGGTTGCATTAATCGAGAATACATAATTAATCAAGAATACATGACAGAAGAAATTAAAAAATTATAGAAGTTAGATTTTTATTGATAAAAACTATGTAATGTATTTAAAAATTATATATTAGTATAAAGGGTGGTAAACTCGCCAAGTACTAAATGGGAGAGAGGTTATTGTGAGAACCTAGTTAACTATAAGAGAAAAAATGTCATAATTTACTGCAAAAAACTATATTTTGATTTTGATTAGAATAAAGAACTATTCCCTCTGTCTGCCACAAGTGACCAATTTGCTTTAAGTACACTCATTAAGAAAATATTAAATTCTACCTTTCATTAATTATTGCACCATAGTTATAGTAGTACTTACTTTTCTTCTCAAATATGAAGAATAAATGATTTTTTAGGGCTACGTACATAAGGGTAATTTCGGAAAAACAAATTGAATTTTTTCTTAATTATATAAGTGGACATTTATTTTGGACCAAAATAAAAAAGCAAATTGATCATTTATTGTGGATCGGATAGAGTATGGAATTTACCCGACATATTATTATAAAAGTAAAAGAGACAACTGACAAGTGTCATAACCCTAGAGATTACAGGCGTTGTTGGTTTCTTGAAACTTTGTTCAGCTATATCGTTTGTCTTTTCTCAAGAAACTTGTGAAATGTCCAAAAAGAAAAAAGAAAAAAAAATTGTAACATGTCCAGATTCAATGAATATCACCAAGAGTTGTGTGGGATAGATAAACATCTTTATGTTTAACCAAAAGTTTCTTATTCCATTCCTAAGAATGAAAAAACATTGGAAAGAAGATTCTTTTTAGCGAGACTTATGCACGCACGACCCATGATGCGAATCATAATTAATCGAGTCCCAATACGAATACTTGACACCAAAATAAAAAAAAAAATCAAAAAAGAAAATAGTGAAATGTCCAGATTCAATGAATTTGCGCATGCATGCACTTCTTTGTGGATTGAGGGGGGAATGGCTCACAAGTCACGAGCCACGAGTTTTTTTTTTTTTTTTTTTTGCTTCTTCTTTTATTCATTTTAAGTTGCAAATTATATTTATCAGTTCTTTTTCTTAGGGGAGTGGAGTGAGAAAAATACTATTTTCCAAGAAAATGATTTTTCCTCCAACATGAGATTTAATATATTTTTTCAGGTAAGCCCCGCATTAATTTCTTATTCATTTTAATTTTAGATCAGTATTACAACAACACATCAATCTCAATAAATTGTTGTCGACTATATAAATCCTTATTGATTATGCTACTCAAATTACACTCATCTCAAGTAGTCAATGTTATATGCAAATACAAAAAAAATAAAAAAATCTCTAACTTTTTAAAGATGTATAAACCTCGGAAAGAATAAATCACTCCTAAAAAGCAGAAGGCCTCAACTTTTCTTTTGCATTGTCTGATTTGGAGGAGTGAAGAGAAAATGAATGAAGAGGTTAATGCATTTTCTCTTGGATCCACATATATTATTGGACTGAGACGGGTTTAAGTGTAAAGACATATACATCGAGAACTTATATCATCGATCTCAACTTACTTGAGATTGAGGTATGATTGTTGTGTTGACATTGAAAATTAGGGAAGAGAAAGAAATATGAAGCGAGATAAAGTTATCTTTTCCATTGTCTTTGGATGAGTGAAGAGAAAACAAATAAAGAGGTCAAAATGTCAAATTATTTTCTCTTTGATCCACATAAACTATTGCCCTGACACGGGCCAAGCAACGATATGGACAATAATATATATATATAGTCGATCTTGATTTGCTTGGAATTGAAGGATAGTTGTTGTTTTGTTATATGGTGAAAAGAAAGAATAGAAACTGAAAACATAATGATTTTCCTTTATTTTTACTTTTTATTTTTCCCTTCAGAATCATACACAGAAGAGAATAACTTTCTAATCAATTATTCTCTCTTGACATAAAAACTATAGGACTTGTTCTTTATTCACTAAACCAGCCATGAAACATAACACAATAAACTCATACACAAGGATTGTTAGCTTATCATATTCTTTTGAAAAAATGACAAAAGCCAACAACCATTTTACCTTACAACAACAACTGATCCAGTAAAATTCCAAATATGGTTCTGGAGAGGGTAGTGTATATGGAGACGTTACCCCTACCCGAGTGAGTAGAGAGGCAACCACTTTACCTTGACTTAACAATTTCTTCTTTCATGGCAAGTGAAAGTGCATTTAAACTACAACCACTTTCTACTACAACTCCAGGCATTGCCACAGCTCTACTCCCCACAAAACTTCCTTCTCCTATTCTAACTTTTCCAAATTTCACTACTCCTTCACCTTCATATATATGTCCAAATAACAATGCTTCTTTGCCTACACATCCACCTCTTTCAATTTCCACCATTTCAGGATTCAATAAAGTTCCCACGCTATCTACATAAACCCCTTGACTTAATTCAACTTCTGATCCCATTAGTTTCATCCAAATAACAAACAAGAATGATCCTGTTGTCATTTCCATGAAATAGTCACTAACTAATGTCCTAAATGCTTGCCATATTGTTTCTAACAAAAGTCCTATGCTCCATATGTGTGCTTTTCCTCCATCTTTCTTTCTTGTTGTGAAAACAGCTTTTGCCAATACACAAACCAATGCTGCTATTAGCCCTGAAGATATCCAAAAGAAAGGAAAAAACCAGTATAGTGGTTGAGTTGTAGTTTGCTTTAAAACCAGCAACCAATGTAGAGGACCATGAATTGAATATGCCAAGAAAAAGTATGGCAAGAATGTTTGGAATAGTGGCTGAGCAAAAGTAGACCAAGAAGTTTGATACCATGCTCTTGATAGAGCTATTTCATGTCTAGTTTCTTGTTTTACTTGTAGTGAAGATGCAATTGGACAACCAGAAAGATCAACTTTCACATCAGATTGTTCTATGAAATTCTTCCAAGCTTCTGGAAGTGGTTCTCCATTTCTCAAATGTTGGCAAATTTCATAGATCAATGAACGACCGTGATCGATTGAAGCACTTTGAGAGGCTGATGTTGCTTTGATAACATCAACCTCGTGGCATCGGAGGAAAGGGTTGAATTCCAGCTTCTCTGATTGTTCCTTGGTAAGGTTCTGATCAACAATGATTTCTCCAACATCAACATATGGGAATTCAGCTTCATCCCATGGTCTAGTGCAGTCAAGTGCAATATCTTGTGTTGCTTCATCCTTAGGCACTGGCCTGAATTGGAGTTGGAAAATGTAGCAAACGCCACCTGACGAGCTTACGCGCTTCTGGAAATCATCAGCAAGGAAAAGTAACGGGCGTGTGTCGTTATCTCTCCTTGGAATTGCACCTGTTTCTGGAGGAAGTATTCCAATAGGCTCAACTTTACCAGAATCTTCACTAATGTTTTCGTCACATGGCCTCAACTTGAACTTCACATACATTTCTTGTCCATCTTTGAACCTGAAAAGCCTGCATATATTTGAGTAATAATGCATCTCAGTAAATGAGTTCGAATCACGTAGTGATGTCCATACTGCATCACGCACGTGTGGAACGCGTTTCACATGCTCTTCCCTTGCAGCTAAGCCACAAACAAGCCATGTCGCAAAATCAGAAATAGTCCGAGCATAAAATGCTTTCCCTGTCTTCAGTGTCAAGTCTAGAATTGGTTTTTCATCATCTGAAGTGGTATCAGAGAGTATTCTCAAAGCAGCACCACGAGCATCGAGCCTTGCATCATCATCGGCACTCAGACTGTTGCTGTGCCTGACTATTACTGGAAAGCGTTTGCCCGATTGGAAGATTTTGTGTTCTGGAAATCCTTTAATGTTATCATACATCTTAAGCACTCCCTTTCCACTAACACCAATTCTATGAAAGTATCTTGTTTTGACCTTGAGAGTGGTTGCAGCCAAATTTGCAGCTAGATTTCCAACTATCTTCTTGTACTTTGTATCCATCTCTTCTATCCTCTCATCCATAGAATGTTGTGTGTTCTTTATCATGACAGGAACTTGAGATCCAACATAAATGCCACCGCTATGTAGAATGGAATTCATTGGAGCAACTGAAAGTGCACCAAGAATAACATCCTTTTGGACAAGTGACTTTGGGAGAACAACACTTTGGCTCCCAACAACTGAATTGTCTTGTACCTCAACTACCCCACTTGTGAATCCACTCGAGGAATAGAAACCGGTTATAATCCTGCTGAAGTCACCTAGGTGGACACCATCACCTAGTTTTATCAATTTCGGATCAGAGACCGGGTTGATGGCACGAATGGAGCAATGTTTTCCAACTTTTGCACCCAAGGTCCTTAAGTACATGCAGAAAGCTTCAGTTCCAGAAAGGAGTTTAGCAAATCTGAGATGACCGGCAATGTTAATTCTATGTTTCAGCCATATTCTTAGTGAATCATCTGTGCTTTTTGAGAGAAAATTGTTGACAAGGATGGTAAGGAAGCTCAGGGTCAATCCATGAGCCAAGTAGGCGGTTGCAACTGAGATAGCAAAGATTATTGGACTTGAAGAGGTAGTAGAAATAATGGTCATGTAAGCAATGATAGTGAAAGGAAGCCAATGGAATGCCCCAGAAAGACAGATTAAGGAAAAGTGTTGAAGAGATGGAGATTTTTGAGCTAACAGAATGTACAAGAAATAAAGGATCGCTCCGGAGAGGGCGCTTATGAATCCGACAATGTAGATTCCCATCAAGTGATACATAGCTTGACTAAGACCACCTTCTGTTTCTTTTGGCTGTTCAATGACCTGAAATCACAATAGAAATGCATTTCACTACGTTAAAAAGGCTCCTTAGGATTATGTTTAGGGACTAAATAAGAAAATATGAAGATTACAAAAAGTTGAACAATCAGATAAATTTAACTAGTGAAGTTAAATTCCTCACCTTCTTGCTGCTGTTTGATTTTGATACTGCCTTTCCTTCTGTCTTCTGTAATGATGCTATTTCAGTCCCTTCTCCCAAAACACTTCCTTTCTGTAGTACAGCATAAGGACCAACCGAACAGTTTTTGCCAATTCTAGCTGGAAAGAAACTCAAGATTCCATTCTTCACTTCATGGCCTTGAATTAAAGCTCCTTCTGCAATAACAGCTCCATCTCCAATCGAAACCAGTGCTGGATCACTGATATCGACAGTATCCAGTACGACTGATGATCCTATCTTTGATCCAAGTATTTGGAACCAGTATTTCAGGAATACTGTTCCTCTCAAATGCACTGCCATAACTTTGGATGCCATTTCTTGTGCCTTATATAGTGCCCACCACTTGACAAAATCCAATGACCAGATGGACACTTCTGGGGTCAGGGAATAATTTGGTTGAAGGACTAAATTTCCAAGAATACCAATGCATATGCATGTGGTACATATGCATAAAATCCAAGCAAATGGTGCAAAAATCAAAGAAATTGCATAACCAGCCCAAGGAAATGAATTGATCAAAGTTGGACTTTCCAAAATCAGTTTTTTAAAGACAGACATGGATGAGTATGCAGGAATGACCAGCATGAAAATGGCATAGACAAGAGCAAGAAGTTGTAATAGCATGATACCAAATCGACGAAATGGGGAAGCTTCAGCCAAAAAATTACAAGAATCATCCTCTGAGTAGTCTTGAAAACAAGAAGGATTCTCGGTATCCTGAGGCCGAGATTTCCTAACCAAATCCTCTGTGAAGCTTGCCAAGTCCTCAATGCAAGTTGCTGTGAAGATATCAATTGCACCAACTTGCACTCCAAGAAAATCTGAAAGCTTTTGAGCTGCCCTGACTACACCAATAGAATCAATACCATAAGATACTAAGCTTTCAGTAGTAGTAATCTTACTGATACAGATTCCTGTCTGCTCAGAAATCAGTCTTTTCAGGAACTCCACTATTTCTATTTTATTCAATCTTGGAGTTGGTGAAGGTGATGTTCTATTCAAATGTGGCCTTGGTGTATTTCCCTCCTTGCATGAAGCTGTGGTAAAAGATCTAAGAAGTTTCCGCTTCGACGAAATTTGATCTGGAACCACATCCAGTGTTCCATCACTGAATTGTTTCAAGCACTCAAATCTCTTTATCTTTCCAGATGTTGTTTTGCTGATAGTTCTTGGCTTGATCAGCTTCACAGAAGCCAAAGTAACACCATGTTCTTCAGCAACTCTTGCTTTAATTTCCTCAGCAACATCTTTGCTAACAGGTTTACCATCTCTAACTTCTGCAATGACAACTAAGCCAACCTGATCAGAGTGATCAGGTACTGACACTCCTTTGCTGGATAAGGTCTCTTCTGGAACTCCAATGACAGCACAACAACCCGGTCGCAAGAGTTCGGATGAGCTTTCGACAGTTTTTTCAATATCTGATGGGTAAATATTTCTTCCAGCAACTATAATAAGGTCCTTGATTCTTCCTGTTATAAACAGATTCCCTTCAATTATCCTTCCAAGGTCGCCAGTTCTTGTGTATACCTTTTCGGAATGCGTTCCGAGCTTGTTTCTGAAAGTTTTCTCAGTCAGTTCCTCCCTTCCCCAGTATCCAGTGCCAGCACTAGGACTGCTAATCCATATTTCTCCTTCCTTTCCATATTCCTTGTGCTCCTCGCCACTTTCCGGATCAACTATTTTGATATCAACATCTGCCTCATTTTGATTCGCATAGCCACAACAGACTCTTCCTTGCCAATCCACTAAGATTGATCTTCCTTCTCCATAAGCACAGCTTACAAACACACAGTTTTCCGCCAATCCATAGCCAGGAGCCATCACTCGCTGAGAAAGACCGAAAGATCTCGTGAGCTCAATAAATCTCTTTAGAGTTTTCTGCCTCACTGGTTCAGCAGCAACCATTAGAAACTTAAGCGGTGAAAGATCATACTTCCAACCCTTCTCTTTGTTAGCCTCTAACCTCCGGACGACAAGCTCAAATGCAAAGTTTGGACCAGCACTATGAGTTGCTTTGTACTTGCTCATCGTCTCGAGCCACAGGAGAGGGTTCCTGATGAATGTCATTGGGGAAAACAAGATTGCTGATCCCCCACTCACTAGAGCTGTGAAAAGGCCACCAATAAGTCCCATATCATGATACTGAGGAAGCCAGCTTATCAGTACTGTGTTTGATGTGCTTTTGTATACCCTTCGCATTAACTTCACATTGTGGATTAAACCACCATGAGTTATCATAACTCCTTTAGCATCTCCTGTTGACCCTGATGTAAATTGTAGAAAGCACACATTATCCGGTTGGGGTTCAAACCTGTCATTGTTATTTGAGTGCATTTCTTTGGCATTCTTAACCCAAGAATCTGTGTGTATCCATGGAAGATTAGGCCAGCGAGCTGAGAACTTTCCATTTTTACGGTTCAGTGATAACAGACTCTTCACGGAGCCTGCTCGAACAGCTGCATGATAACCAGCAGTTGACAAAATCGCCACTGCAATGCATGATTTAGCAATGTTTTCAATCTTGAGTAGTGCTTGTCCTCCTCTTTGCATTGGATCTGATGGAAGTACCGGGACAGGCAACACTCCAGCTCGTATACACCCAAAGAAGGCATCGACAAAATCAAGCCCTGGGACATAAACAAGGAGAACTCTGTCACCTTGCTTCATGTTTGGTTTTTGACTAGACAACAGCTTCTGAGAAATACAAGAAGCATTAGCATTAAGTTCTTCATATGTCCTCTGGTTAACTACTTGTCCTTCTTCACTAATCCATTTGTACAATGTCTTCTTTCTGGTGATGTTATGAGTACTCCATTGCTTTAAATAACCGTCGAGGCTAGTCAATTCAGGAAATTCCACTTGCTGGTATTCTTTCAAAGCTGTAGGATTCTTATCCAAGCGATCAGATAAGAGCGGAAATAATCTCTGCAAAATCAATGGTTTTGATTTGAATTATTCACATGTCACACTTCAACTTTTCTTAAAATGCAACAGTCATTTTCTCTTTCGAGTACCTTAACGTAAGGAAACCTCGGTTGTGTATCAGGATTTGCAAAGTGCTTGGAAATTAAGGCCATAGAATAGGATGAATTTCTTTCAGTCAGCTCAAATGCCATTAATCCCCCCACATAATAAGTGTTTTGCTGACCTTGAAGCTGGTTTTCTATTTTGTCATAGAATTCATCCTTCATATCTGTGTCCAAATACAAAAGAATTTTGTTACCCCTATTTTATAGAATTACTTTTTGACAAGAAAGACATGTTGTGCTTTTAGTATAATAAGCTTTACCTTGGCTATTTACATGAGGAAAATACTTGAATCGTCGTTGCAGGACTATCATTTCAACTTCACCTCCAATCCTTTTGACAGCATCAATCGCGAGCTGTAAAACTGTTGAACCCTCAATGTTGGCTGAGTTTCCGTAAGACCAGAAAAGGAAAATGTTTGTATTTGAATAGAATCTCTGCATGGCAACTGGATTTCCTATTGTTTCAGGATCATCCATAAATTCCTCAAAGTAATAGAATCCAACTGGCATGTGTTCTAGTCCCTTAATCTTCAGAACCGTCGTGTAATAATCAATGGTCTGTACTTTACTGAACAACTCCTTTTCAAGTTCACTCAATTCCAGCACTTCATATTCAGGATCTGTTATATCAAATTAACATTAGCATCAAAGTAAGTGGAAACTCAAGCACGAATAAGGCTGCATATCATACCTGCTGAAATGGGAGATGGTGATCTATATGTCCTCCCATTCCTATAAGGAAATGCCCCGGATAATATCACTTTATCAAATTCCATACTTTGAAAATCCGCACTGCTGCTTTTGACATCAATTTTGACGCCTGAAGTGTCGCGTCTGACTGAAAGCACTTCTGTTTGGCACATGACTGTTATTGGCAAAGATTCACTAACTTTCTTCCATAGGCTTGTGTATCCGTCTTTGAAACGTCGAATTTTCCCAGCCATAGACGTTCGAGTGAACTCATGAATATATGCATAAGGCATGTCTTGAACAAATCCATATCCAGAAGCAGTGTAGCCATATGCAACAGATTTTGGAACATACTTAAATCCGCGACTTTCAAGAAATGAAGGTGTCATATCAGAAGCAATGTCACTCACAGCATGAACACCAATTCTACCTGAATCCTTTGCTTTGTCCTGTGAATAAACTTTTATGGTTCAAACAAGCTGAATTACGACAGCCAGCGTAAAACTAGTCAATTCATGAATTACTACGAATTACGATTCCTTTTCTTTTTGTATATCAACTGAATTCTTGTACATGACATAGACTGACCTGGAGTTCTAATGTCAAGGATATAACAGACACATAATCATCTGCAACTTTATTGTCCTGATAATTCCCTGTTTGGCTATCAATTAATGCAAGTTTGTGAGAGCCTAATTCCACAAGCTCACTTCCTGTTTCCTTTGCCAAATGGAAAATTGTTGGAGCACTATTTGCTGCTAGGACTTGACCTCCAAGATCATAAATTTTTCCTACATAACACACAAAATCTGTTACTTATCACAAACCCTCAAACAAAAAGTACTTACATATAAAACAAGTTTAAATTATATGCGCTGACAGTATAAAGAATTTTAATACGAGCCGTGCAAATTAACCAGCTATGGCAGTTTATTACTCTATTTCGTTATCAGTGAAGGGGAGCCTTGGTGCAACTGGTAAAGTTGCTGCCAAATGACCAAGCGGTCAAGGGTTCGAGCCGTGGAAACAGCCTCTTGCAGAAATGCATCGTAAGGCTGCATACAACAGACAC